TATGCATGTGCGCACACACAGAGATCACTAGATACTAAAATATGAAATCTTTCCCTCATTTTATGCAGAGAGAGAGAAAGAGATTGTTTTTTTTCCCCAATTGTGTTTCCACTCATAATGCTTTTTCATTCCCTGAGCCAGGGTGAAATGCTACCGGTTCGGATCGGTTCGCCCGAACCGGTAGTAAAAAAAATGCTATCAGTTCGGGTGAACTGGTATTTCCAACGATCAGCTGTGATGCACGATTTATATTAGCTAGAAGGCAGGATTTCCTGCTTTCTGGCTAATCTAAATTGTGTGGCACAGCGGATTCCCTCCCTCATAAGGTTCTACTTACTTTTGCAGGCGCGCTCGCTAGCAAACTCTGCCCACTTACCTGGACGTCAGCATGTCCATTTTTGACACTCTGTGCATGCACAGAAGGTCCTGCGCTTGCGTGAAACATCCTGCGCTTGCACGGAATGTCCTGTGCATGTGCAGAGGTGGCGCCTGCGTGCTCACATTTGCGAACTGGTAGCAAACGTAGATGGATTTCACCCCTGCCCTGAGCTAATGCTGCAGCTGTATACAAGTGGAAATGTGCCAGCCAGGAACGTACTGGTAGAACAGATAACTAAAAAAGAGGATGAAGCTTTCTCATCGTGGGATTGGAGCTTTTGGTTAACTAGGATGAAATGTGTCATGGAGAAGAATCAAGGCAGAAGTGAAGTGCAAGTAAATTTTGTTTTCAATCCGCACAGAAGGAGGTAAAAGCACAGACTAGAGAACGCAGAAGGCGAAACGAAACTATAGTCTTAATGGCCCAGTTCCAGGAAAAGCAAGGCAGAACAAAAGCACTCTGGATTGACTGAGGCACAAGGAAATAACACCATAATGTGAAAGGAGAACCCACATCTGCAGGGATTAAATATCAGTGTAAACAAGCTAATATTACTTTGATTTTTTTTTTAACCAATTACAGGGTCTGGAGAGCTGCTTGAAAGGGCCAGACAACTACAATAGCCAAGTTCTGATAGAGGCCACCGTCATAGCCCTGACTAAGCTCCAGCCACTCCTCAATAAGGTAAACTGGTAGGGCCCCCAGCAGCTCGTTCTCTGTGGCCCTGTGGGCAGAAACAAAGGGTAACTCCATTGCTCAGGATAAAGGTTAGAATGATCCAGGTGGGGGGGGGGGTGTTTGGAAGCTGTATTTTTAACCTATTCCTTAATTGCTCGTTAGCAAATCTTGAAAATCTTGCCAATGATTTATTAGATTACTAGAGATCCTGATAAGGGACACGGCGGTTCAGTGGCTAAGACGTTGAGCTTGTCGATCAGAAAGCTTGGCAGTTTGGCAGTTTGAATCCCTAGCACCGCCTAATGGAGTGAGCTCCCGTTCCTTGTCCCAGCTTCTGCCAACCTAGCAGTTCGAAAACATGTACAAATGCAAATAGAAAAATAGGAACCACCTTTGGTGGGAAGGTAACAGCATTCCGTGCGCCTTCGATGTTTAGTAATCTAATAAATC